AAAAGCAGCTCTGTGTGTGCCTACAACAGAACACCCCAGGCAACTCTTGTCAAAATCTTACCTTCACCTCTGAGTGTCTCCCTTCTCCCAAGTTGGTTCCCTAACCATGTGTCTACAGAGTCACTGTAAATCTCTGACCCAAGGTCTGTTTAACTTTTTATCTACAGCAGGACAATTACTGGGCAAGAAAGAGGGAATGACTCTGTAGTCCGATGGTTAAAGTATACACCTGGGAGGTAGAGGATCCTGACTCCAGGCCCCTTGCTCCACTTTTGTTATTTATCCATAGTCAAACAACTCCAGGAAGCCCACATCAGAAGATCCCACAGCTCAGTGGTTAGAACACTCCTCTGACAGGTTGCCTTCCACATTCCAGGCAAGTGCTCTAACCATTAAGCCAGGGTTGGGCAAAATACAAACTATGGGCTGAATCCAGACCACCAAGCCACCAGATCTGGCCCACGGATGCAGCAAGGAAGCTCCCTGCTTGCCCCCCTGTCCAACGCTACTGAGAAAGTCGTCTGCCAGGCCATTTTTCTTTCACAGATATGAGTCTGGCCCTGCCCCCAGCACAATCCCATTGGCTGGTTTCTGGCCAATGGAAGCTGCCTGTCTGAATAACAGGCAGCGGGCGAAGCACCTCTTCCCCCTCCCCTCTGGCTCTTGCTCACAGACCCTCATGGCCCCTGCAACCTGTGTGGGGGAAGGACAGGCAGAGAAGATGCCTGAGAAACATGCTGGGCTGCTTGCTAGGAGTTGTGCAGGTAAGTCTCCCAGTCAGAGCCTGCCTCTGGCACCTCAGCCCCTCCCTCCCCATACCGCAAATAACCCACAACTTCTGCCCTACTCCTGAACCCATACCCCCTCCAAAATCCTGCACCCCAATTGCCTGCCCCACGACAACACCCCTTCCTATGCTAGGTCACAACCTAAATCCCTGCACCCCAATCCACTGCCCTAGGTCACAATCCAACCCCCTGCACTCCAATTCATTGCCCCAGGTCACAACCTAAATCCCTGCATCCCCTCCTGCACTCTAGTCCAGTGCCCCCGAGTCACATCTGCCTCCTTCACCCCACCCTCTTCCACCTTAACATCATGGAAATGTGCAGCCCTTGAGCAGTTTCCAAAATCTTGGAATGGCCCCCTAGCAAAAATTATAGCCTAATGCAGAGGTGGGCAAAAGTTATAAGGAGGGCAGCTCACCAACAGATTTTGAGTGGAAACTGGTCCAGTAGATTGAGGCAGCCTCTGCTCATACCTACCAGATATGGCCTTGCATGCACTTTAGGCTACCTGAATGCCTATCTGGGAGTTAGGTAGGAGACAGGCATTGAGGCATCTCAAGGGGGGCTGCAGTATACGTGTTCAAACCCTAAAATATAGGTACCAAGAACTTTTCCATTGAAAATATAAGTGCCAAGTGAGTATGGGCAGCTGGTGAAGGCAAGCCCCCACCTCCACCCCCACAGGAGCCAAGCTGCCTCCCTGCTCCACACCATAGTCCCAGAGTATGGGGAGGAAGGAACACACATGCCCCCAGACTTCATGGTCCTGGGGCACAGGGAGGAAGGAGGGCACCTGTCCCCAGCCCCAGAACATGGGGAGGAAGGAGGGTGCACGTCCCCACCTCAGATCATGAGGTGGGTGGCCCCAACATCCCCAGACTGCACATGGCCCCAGTGAGAGTGCGCGGCCCCAGCCTCCCTGGCGGCCTCAGAGCTTGGGGAGGAAGGAAGGTGCACATTCCCAGCCACAGAACACAGGGAGGGTGGCTGGCTCTGTGATATGACAATCTCTCATATCACAGAGCAGCAATCACTGGAATGTACAGAATGTATAGAAGTAGAAGTGGCAAGTCCTGGAGAGAGTTCTGAGCAATAAGCTCTGACAAAATGTAGTGCACTTTACCTGTATTTTAGAACCTGAAGAATCCTCAAGTTCTCTTATTTTAGTTCCAGCCCGACCTGTTACGAAATGCACTGTAGACATTATATAAATACTGAACACAGACCAACTTGTGCCAAGAGTTGGAAATATACCACTATCAAACATTACTTTGCTACTATTTACTGTCACCAAATAGAGTCTTTGCTTTCTTCAAAAAGGGCAGATCATTTAACAAGTAATCATAGCTTGAAAATGCAAAACAAAAAACAAGACAGAAAAAAATTAATGGGGGTGGGGGGCAGGACCCACAGAGAAATATGGTCCCAGAGACATGCTTCAGATTCCTTCTCTGGCCAGCAAGGGCTTTGTCTATCTCCCCCTCTTCTAGCTTAAAGTAAAGTTCACACATCCACTGGGGCTGGTCAATAAAGGCTGAGCAAGCATTTTGTGATGAATCTCTCCCATCTTGCCCACCAAGCAAGCAAGCAAGCAAGCCAGCCAAGTCATCACCTCCTCAGGGTGACCAAATGGGAAATTAGGCAAGCAGCCAGTCAAGCACACAGACTGGTCTCCTTAGGTTAGCATGCATTTGTTGAGGAGATGGGTACTACAGAGAGTACATAACCCCATCAGCAGGGGCCAGGCAGGTACCACAGCTGGCCCACATCAACATGCTCCACCTCAACAACCCATCATGTGCCTTGACATCCTCTGGCAGGGGTAGAGATTAGGAGGGCCTGGGGAGTGTTGCTCCCCCCCCAAACCAGAGGCTACGCACAGGTGGGTATGCATAGTCATATGTCCCCTGCAGATTTCTGCCTTGCATTTACCATGCTGGTGTGAGTGTGTGTATGCAGGTACACTGGGCCAGCCAGCACAGCAGGTCTCAGGGAGCTGAGTCAGGAAGTGACACTCTCTTGCAAACCCTACTGCATGAAGCTGGCCCAAATTGACTGTCAGCATCATTGTCTACTCGGTTCCCTCTAAAATGTTACCCAATGCCCCTGTGGGAGGCACATCCCAGTGTGAAAGCCTCTATGCTACATGGAAGGCAGAGATCAGGGGAGGGGAACATGAGAGCGACACACTCCCCCACCTTGCCTCTGACCCCCCATACAGACATCGGCCAGCCCCCGGGCACGCCTCACAGCCGCCCTGCCCGGAAGGCGGGAAGAGCGCGGGCTACCTGCGCCACAGGCAGGCACTAGGGCAGGGCCCGGCAGTTACCTATGAGGGCCCCGATCACGGCGTTGTCCAAGTGGAAGCAGAGCGGCACCCCCGAGCCCCGGTCCCTAGGGGGGCCGCGGGGCCGATATTCCAGGGGACCCGACAGCCAGGGATCCCGCGGTGTGTGGAGCTGGACTTGCCGCGAATCCTCCAGCCTCCTGCAGCCGCCGCCCCTCCGAACCGGCCCCTTCTGGCCCTCGGCCCACGGCCCGCCGCCTCCGCTTCGCCCTATGCCGCCCACCGCGGGCGCCGGGCTTCTCCGGCCCCAGGAGGGGGCCATTGTCGGCTGCCACTCCGGCAGCGGAGGGCCTGACGGCCGGCTCCCGGCGCGGGACTCCTCGTCGCTGTCCGTTTCCCAGTCAGACATGGCAACGGCGGGGCCCAGTGAGCGACCAGGGTCCCCCAGTCGGGCTCGCGCTACCTAGCGCGTGCTTTCCAACCGCCAACACGCGCGGGCAGAGCAGGCCCAGGCCGGGAAGCGCTCTGATTGGCCACAGCATTTCGCCTCAATGATTGGCTAGTCAACTTGCTGCCCGCTGAGTGGATTGCCCATTGGCCTCGGGAAGAGACGGACATTCGGGTGGGTGTGGAGGAGGGAGAGCCGCGCCTCAGCGCCTTGCTCCTGCGGGTTTGGCTTTCCAGCGAGAGAGCAGCCCAGAGTCGCCCAGCGAAGCGCTTCTATCAGTAGGATGGCGCTACCCGCAGCCATTATCGCGGGCTACTGAGTATCCCCAGTAGGTCCATGGGGCAGGTGCGACTGGCAGCCCAGCACCTGCTGCTCACTGCACACACTCGTATTTGGGGAGTTGGGTCTGCACCACCCACTCTCTGTGTCACATACCTGCGGTGTAGGCCCCAAGCAACAAATCGCATGACTACATGGTGCAAGGAGAGCATATGGATGCAGGGCATGGTGGTGAAATTGATCTCTTTGGTGCAGTCACAAAAAACCCTGAAAACCCATGACAGTTAATAAGATTCCCAATTGGGCAACAGCCAGGCTGTGTCTACACTGGCGCGATCTTGCGCCAAAGCGGCCGCTCTTGTGCAAATACTTGCTGCCTGTCTACACGGGCCATGTGTTCTTGCGCAAGTAAACTGATGTTCTACTGTACGTCATCAGGGCTTCTTGCGCAAGAACTATGATGCTCCTGCTCAGGAATAAGCCCTCTTGCGCAAGAGCTCTTCCGGAAGAGGCCAGTGTAGACAGGCAACATGAATTTCTTGCGCAAGAAAGCCCTGTGGTTAAAATGGCCGTCAGAGCTTTCTTGCACGAGAGCGTCTACACTGGTATGGATGCTCTTGCGCAAAAGCACATCTCTTGCACAAAAGCACATGCTAGTGTAGATGCATGAGAATGCGCCAGTGTAGACATAGTGCCACTGTTTGTGATACAGAACATGCTATGTGGTCACTAAGCAATATGCACTGTATTTTCACTTAATACTGTTTATGAGTCTATCCATGCTGCCAGGTCCTGTTGTTATAGTGGTGGGTCTGTTGTTTGAAATTAATTGGGTGGCATTAGCCCAGTTCCCAGTTGGAAGGAATCCTCACAAAAACAACCAGCTCCATTTGTATGCTAAAATACCTCTACTATCATAACTGCTAACTTTAGGTCAGATTTGAGCTTCTGTTTGGCATAGCAGAGAAGTGGGGACATTAGGGAGCAATTTAAATAAATATTTTACCCTAATGCTTAAAAAAAATCCCAATATTTAGGCTACTGTGTGCTGAGACCACTGCCTATTGTGTTGCAAGTACTGTTTCCCATCTGTATATATTCACATTTTGATTCCAGTTTTACACTGTAAACTTTCTGGGGCAGAAAGCAGCTTTTTGTCCTTTGCACATTATTCTGTGAGCTTTTGTTCCATGACTCAGGCTCCTGAGCGCTACAGTAATATAAATCAATCAGTCAAGTATTCCTTGCTTACAGCTTCACTTTACGATCTGATTTACAGTCTTCCTTGCCCATATTCATTGCTGCTTACTCATGGAACTAGTTTTAAAAAATCACTCACATCACAGATGTCCAGAGCAAATATTTCCCAGGTAAAAGCCATTGCTCTCTTCAGAACAAAAACTTTCATTAAGAAAAAAGAATATTTTTTGCTTGATTGATTGCAGCAACCTCTTGCATTGAAAATAGAGCTTGACAGGAGAGGGCAGGATCAGAAAAGAGCTGAGTAGCCGTCCACAGAATGGTGAGATTATGAAACAGCAAGGAAGAAGTTACTTTGCCCTGGTATACACTAGGGAGTTATTTCGAAATAACTCCCCTTATTATGAAATAACAAGCAGAATGTGCACACTACCAAACCCATTATTTCAAAATAATGGGCTGGTTATTTCAAAATAACAATTCCTGCTTTCCACAAGGAATAATGCTTATTTCGAAATAGTTATTTCAAAATAGTGTTAGTGTGGATACTCCACTGCTGCTATTCTGAAATGACTGCTCCCCAGAGTCATTGATTCAAAGTAATTAAAGCCCTGTGCTTCCTGGGGCTCTAAGTCAAAGTAGTGAATCCACATTAAAGGAGCCTGCCTTGGACTAATTTCAAGGTTTCCCTGTAGTGTGGACACGCTATTTCAAAATAGTTATTTCGGGAGTTATTTCAAAATAATTTCTTAGTGTAGACATACCTTTTGTGCAGTAGCAATGGTTCCTTGAGAGGTGTGTCCCTATGGCCCACCCTCCTCCCCCATACTTTAATCAAAAAACAAAAATCAACTAACATACAAAAAATCCTACAAGTATTCACAGTACCTACTTTTTAACCATTTTTATTAACAACAATATGGATTTACTTTTGTCATGAAAATACAATTAACATTGTAATGTAATGGCTAAAGCCATTGCAGTGTCCATGGAAGTGTCCCTTATACTTTCCATAGCCATTATAAAACTGACATTTTAACACCCATATTGGCTAGCAGAAGTGTCTCAAGAACACGTTCAATAGCAAATGATGTTTGGTGCCCATGGAAGTGTTCCATATATATCTGAATTAATGCCAACCCCTCATATGTTTCTTTGACATTCCAGGGGTTGGTTTAGATTTAAAAACAGATTCACCTTTTCGGATAATTATAGCAATTTGTGTGATGTTGAAATTCATTTGAACTAAATTGATTAACACACTTTGAAAAAAATGTGAAGCAGAAACATGATGGCCAAATTCTCTCTGGACTTACACCTTCTTCAATCCTATTGAATTCCATGGGATTGCACAAGGTATGAGCCAGGTATGCACAGATATGCCCAGTGGGACAAGTTCACTCCTTGTGTAGGTAGTTGTAATCCCATTGAAATCAGTGGAGCTGAGCCTGATTACACCAAATAGGGCTGAATTTGGCCCATTTATACTCTCCTTTGAAGTCAGTGGAGCCACATAGGAATAAATTTGTCCTCAGACCATTAGTCACTTTTTCCATTCTTTTGCTCTTATATTTTCTTCTGCTTAATTCAGTTTTCTGACTGATTTACTTTTCTCTGTGCTTTTAAAAAAATTCTCTTCTCTTCATCCCTTTTGCTCTTACTATTTTGTGCGTTATTTTTTATATAGTCAATGTGACATATGGGTTAATTCAGTTAAGCATTAGTTTCCTCAGGAAATAACTGGAATGTTATCATTTTCACTTTATACAGATGCCCAACAAAATAAGGGTTTGAATCTGGACTCCTTACTCAGGCAGAACTCTTGCTGAAGTCCATGGAACTTTGCTTGAGTAAGAACTGCAGGCCCAAACCCATAAATAGTATTATATTTCAGATGTTCCTCAGTACAACAATAATTTTTGACTTATCACAGAAGAGTAGGTGAATTACCTATCATCACACTGTAAAGAGAGCAGCCATTTAAGTAGGATTATCTCAAACACATTGAACAGCTGTGGGCATATGAATAAAAGTGTATGATCTTCGCAACCTTGAATCCTAGGCTAAAACACTATATCCATACTGAAATAAAAAGTATAGATCATATAATCCAGGAGTACATAGAGTTTGTAAAACAATCATCATCAAAACTATTCTTTTAAGTTCTCTCTTCAATCAGGTACAACAAACATGCTGATCAAAAAACAGTTATTTGTGTAAGGCTAATCAAAAACGGTTATTTGTCTGAACTCCTTACTTAGGGCCATGTTCTGTCCTGCTTGATACCCTGTACAATCCTCCAATGGAGTGTACATTAGGGCAGAATTTGGTCCTTATTGCCTACTCATGTAAAACTCCCATTGATTAAAATGAGAGCTTTAACTGAGTAAGTAAAGTAGTTCAGGACAAGACCCTGAAGGCCACATGCTGTTCCCACTGACATCAACACATTGATACTAATTTCAATGGGAGCAGGCTTGGTCCTTATACTGTAATTTAAGGTATACTGTGGACACAGGAAATTCTTGGTGAGGAAAGGTCAGAAAGCTCACTTTGTAAAAATCAAAACACATCATAAACCCTGACCAGACCTCCACAGATTCATTAATTATTCTGAGTTTCCTATATGATAAGAACTGTAGTTACAAAAAGAAGGATGTAATGGTAACAATAAAACAAAAAAATCAGAAATTAAAAAAAAAGAAGATTTTCCTGATTTATCCAATCTTTGTAAATACATTACATTTTCATATATAATTTACAGACTTCATTTATGTGCACAGAATTGTATTAAATAAATTAACTTAAAATTAGGAGAACTCAGTTACGTCTTTAAGGCAAAAATACCAAGTTCAGCAAAGTACATTTATCAGTAAAAACCAAGATCCTTATTCTGCAACTGCATTTGTGCAGGCCGAACTTGTGTCCGTATGGAACCTCAGTGACTTCAGTAAGGCTCAATGTGAATGCAAGGGTCTGCTCAAGCAGGTGTAGTTGCAAGATCAGGGCCCAATTCAGGATGCCACTGTGTTCATAGTTAATGAAAAAGGGGAGGTAAGTCTAATTACTGACATTTAACTGTCCTGAGCCCAAGCTCTTGCCCCTCCATCAGACCTAAGTAGAGACTTACATTTAGAACATTATGCGATTTTATATTAATGGCAAGAAAGGCACCATAAAACATTAGGAAAAAATAAAATAAAATTCTAAAAAGTGTATCTTTTTAGATATTGTACAGATTTGGCTGGACAAACTGCAGACATTCAAATAAGTCAATATTTAAGTGTTCTCAGATCTTGAAAAACCTATTTATCATCACAAAAATATCTTCGCAATTAGGCTTTAATATGATCAGGCAGCACAGAAAAATGTAGTAAAAGTTGAATGTGATATATTATATGGCAAATCAGTGATAGCTAATTGTGCTTCAAGACATCTTTCAGAATTTACCAACTGAACTTTGTTCTGGCACAAGCCACAGAATGCAGCTTATCATCCATAGATCCTGTATCATTGACACAATATATACACTCTACAGTATGCAGGTACTTTCACATAATAAGAATATCATGTAACATCCAGGAATACTTCTGTAAAAGAAATATGGAGGCAGAAATTACAATGGATTCATAGTAAACAGTTCAAGTCCTTCACATTTAGCCATGATTAAGACTGCTGTGACATTTCTGATGTATAATAAATCCTAAGTAGGACTGGGTTTTGATCGAACAGTGCTTTGAGTGTGCTCCAACTGGCATTCCCATACATTTGGAGATCTTGTTGCTAGATCTGGCTAGGTCCAGAACAGGTGGCCCATGAGTCTGTGGTACATGTAGGTTGTAATTTAGGGGGAGACAACAGACATCTTGTTCAGTGGGGAAGAGTGGAGGCTCCCACGGCCACAGGGTACCATGACAAAGCCCTGGTAAGGACCTGTTGCTAGGCACTAGTGCTGCTACTGCACCTCTGCAGAAGTGAAATGTAGAAAGGCAATGAGAACAAAAGGTCGTCTTGGGGGAGATTGCTCAACGTGCTACAGGTTTGTAATCTCCAAATTAAGTGGGAGATGGTATGATGAAGGGGTCTGAGGGTCTTTTCCTGGCACCTTGGTAAAAACTGGCATTGTAGATCTAGTAAGAACATGACCTCTTTTCCTCTTTTCTTATCCCCTCATTTTTAAAAGTTCAATCTTTTTTCAATTTGGACAATTCAGCTGTTTTTCTCTATTAATTCTCCCATTTCATAATTCTTGACATGGGTTTTTGGAAGAAACACAATGTCTGGGATAAACAGGGTAAAATTTTAAAAATCTTTTATACGTCTGGGATAAACAGGGTAAAATTTTAAAAATCTTTTAAACTGTCTCTGTCTTCCAGCTGTTATTTCCATTTTCTTTTTCCTATCTCTTTTTTTCTTCTCCAAATCCATATTCTCCTTCTCTTACCTTACTTGCTCTTTTTTTCCTCTTCACTCCTTCTGAAGTCTCTCTTTCTCTCACCCCCTTTTTATCCCCTTTGTTTTCCCCTCTGCTTTCACTACCCCATGGCTTTGTCTACAATATGACTTTTTTTGCAAGAGAAAATGCAAATGAAGCACGCATTAGCATTTTCCTGCACTTCATTTGCATACTCTCTTTCATTCTGTTTTCGTTATAGGGGTTTTTGCACAAAAACAGGCAGTGTGGCCGTGGCCATTTTGTGCAAAACCCCCTTTTTCTGCAATATCCTTATGTCTCTCTGGGATAGGCATACGGATCTTCTGGGAAAAGAGGTTTTTACACAAAATGGCGGATCTTATGGGAAAAGAGGTTTTTACACAAAATGGAAGTGGCTACACTGCTTCTTTTTGCACAAAACCTCCTTACACAAAAAGAAACAGCAGAAAATACGCTAATGATATCATGGCATATGCTAATGAGTCACTTATTAGCATATTTTCTGCTGCAAAAACTCAGTGTAGACAAAGTCCATGTGTTAACACTTCACAGACTTCTGACACACTATTATGCCGGTTCAGAATACAATTCTGAAACATGGTACCACCTTCAGGGCAGAAAGAAGCATTGCTTCTACAGTAAAAACAACAAATAGTCTAGTAGCACCTTAAAGACTAACAAAACATGTAGATGGTATCATGAGCTTTTGTGGGCACAACCCACTTCTTCAGATGACAGGAGTGTTGGAAGTCCAGATCCAAGAACAAGTAAGGGAAGGTGGAGGTGGGGGAAGAAGGAAAAAATGGAGGGAGAGGAAGAAATAAAAGAGACAGTGAAGAATATATAAGCTTCAGAGGGATAGCCAAGTTAGCCTGTAACAGGAAAAACTTTAAAAAAAAAACAACAAGTAGTCTAGTAGCACCTTAAAGACTAAATGGTTACAAGAGGTTGATGAGAACCATTAGTTTGCACTTGGAAAGGAAGATGACCAACACCAGATGTAGAATCTGGTGTTGGTCATCTTCCTTTCCAAGTGCAAACTAATGGTTCTCATCAACCTCTTGTAACCATTTAGTCTTTAAGGTGCTACTAGACTACTTGTTGTTTTTAAAGTTTTTCCTGTTACAGACTAACTCGGCTATCCCTCTGAAGCTTATCTATTCACGGTCTCTTTTTTAATTCCTCTCCTCTCCCCCCATCTTCTCTTACTTATTCTTGGATCTGGACTTACAATACACCTGTCATCTGAAGAAGTGGGTTGTGCCCATGAAAGCTCATTATATCATCTATATGTTTTGTTAGTCTTTAAGGTGCTACTAGACTATTTGTTGTTTTTTACGTTTTTCCTGTTACAGACTAATTCGGCTACCCCTCTGAAGCTTTTTTACAGTAAAGGCAGCACTCTCTCCTCTCCTGCTGATTCTGCTTCCAGAATGCTTCAGATCCATAGGCAGGGCACATCAGTGATATCAGTAAATCTGGGGTAAGGAAAGCTGTCCCTGAATTTTTGGTGCAGTAGTCCCAATTATCTATAACTAAGGCCAACCCCTATCCCTTCAAATTGTACATTTCATAGCAAAAGAATGTTCCTATCATAAATGACAACCTGAAAGTGTTGTGCAAAGTACTTTGCCACAGCACTAAATCACCAAAATAAAATTACAGAAATTAACATTCTAAAGCCGAGTGTTAAAATAACTGATTAATGATGAGTTAATGTGTATATCTTGCAACTAGCAGCCATATCTAGTCATGTATTTCTAGTTTCCTTGGTACCTTGCTAGCAGCTGTATATAATAATTTTGTTGTAAACATAAACTATTGTCTAATTCAGGACATATATATTTTTAATTAATCCAGAAGCAAAGTGCTTTAAATCTTATGCTTTTTACTTCTGTACTGTAGAAACAATACTATTTCTAAATGCTCAGATTTTTGCTTTCTAACACAACCTGCAGTATTAACATTTTAGATTACTCATTATTTACACCTACTGTACTACATAAAAGTGTTGATGTACGGTAGGTATAAATCTGAATTTTAGCGGTCTCTTAAGCATGCATTTTCATGCAATTAGAAGATATGGGCTCATACAACTGCCTTTCAGATTCTTCCTGATTCTTGCAATTTTATCATATTAAAAAAGGCTTTCAAAAGAGTTCATGCTATGATATGTATGACTAAAATAATTATTTAGCCAATGAAGAAAACCCATAAATTGTTATTTAAGTTTGACATGAGGCAAGCTGAGTGCATCTGTACTGTCCCCTGGCTTGCAAATGCTTTGAGATGATCTTGATATTCCAGTCCTTAGAGAGTCAGTAGAGAGAGTTGTTTCCACTAATGAGCGAGAGATGCCTTCTGTTTCTGTCTCTGCTTCCAACTCTTCATCTGTTATAAATAATTTTGACTCCCTCCACTTGGAGTACATTTCTTGGCTCCCTTTTGAGCCACTGGAGTCATTACCAGCAACCTGTACATTCAGTCCTTCTGATGATTGTATAAGATTTTGTACAGATAAAGACTTTCCTAAATCCATTTGCACTACTGGTTTAACTGGGACCAAAGGTTCCCCTTCTGTATCGAGGCTTTTTCTCCATGAAAGATCCTTTCTCACTTTGGGCTGTGCAACTTGTTCATTATCCTTTAAAGCAACAAGGCAAGCGGTGACATCAGAAATATTTTCCTGTATAGTTGCAGGAATAATATGAAGAGGCTCAGGCCAGTTGGCATGCTTGACTGAGGAGAAAGGTGGTATTTGTAATGTTGTTGGTGTTGTTGGCTTAGTTGCCTGGTTTATTTGGTTTGATGTATTATTAGTTATTATTGTTGCAGGTCCATCATTTGGCACCTGTGTTGCTTGACTATGCATAGTTGGACTAAAAGCATAGTAAGCCTGAGTGCTAAAATCATTTGGTGTCAGTATAAGCTGTAGGCCACGAGGAATATTGGCACTAGCTGATCTGGATACACATCCACTGGTTTGTGCAGAATTGGATAAATCTTTGCTGTCTGCAGGACTTTGATAATCAGAGGTCTGGTCACATTCAAAAGATGGCATTTGAAATGAAGCCAAAGTGAGTGCTGATCCTTTCCTTAAGACCTGTTGATAAATGTCTAACAGGCTATCCAGTTTCGACTCTATGGATTGTACCTGCAGATTAAGGGAAAAGATTAAAGTGAATATAAAATATTATTTAAGATATGTAAGAAAACATGATAGATAATAGGAAAAATATGCATAAGGTAAATGTGTGTTTCTCTGTATTAAAAAATCTATTCACCAAGAAAAAGTTATTAAAAGCAGCGTATTTATAGATGCTTTGTGATTCAGATTAATGTTTTAGCTATCAAAGGGTGCAGATTTCAGTAATGTATTTTTCTCCATTTCTGTATACAAAGCATATTTAATGTAATATAATTTGTGTGTTTTACTTCAATATTTTAAGATGCACAGACATCAGATAAAATGATTTTACCAAATTGCTGAATACTGAAAACATCCATTATTAATTACAGAAATTTAGAAGCAATAAAACAAAATCAGGGCCTCATACAGTCACTCTACCTGCTTCTCCACCTTGACTACACGCCCTAACATACTAAGGTCATCAGTTGTCTCATTCTCTGCAGTATTCTTTTCTCGATTTTTCTTATCTGTTGTGATTTGTCCTTTTCCAAGAATTTGGTCAACGCTGTGAAAGAAATTGGAGACTATAATGATTTCTGAAAATGGTGATATTGTGGAAGTATCCACTGTGAACATCTATGAAAAATTACAATTACAAATATTTAACAGTTTTTTTTAAAAAGCCTAAGAAAAAGGATGGATTAATTTTTAAAAAATAATGGTAATCAAAGATCACAAAAATACTATAAAAGAACATGGAATTATGGTTAGAGCATCTGGGGAGAACAGAATGTGAAGCTAAATTGGCAATGAAATTATATTTATTTTGTGTGATATTTGTTACACATATAAATAAATGATAATACATACATATTTGTGAAGGATAGTTTAGTCTCAAGTTATTGGATCAGTCCCCCAAACACTTACTATGGGATACACGGCTTACTACCATTAGTAGTCCCATTGGTCAAATATGACCAACAGTGTTTAAAACATGGGCACAATGTTTATCTCTCATGCTTAGTTTTATCTTTATGAAAACAGCACAACATAGAATTAAAAAACCCCAAACAAGTAGGTGTTGAGAGTGGTAGGGAGAGTTATAATGTGTGCTCTTACTCTAAACCAGTGACACGAAGCAGGGAAAAGTTGCTTAAGAGAAGGTTTTAAAAAAGTGATGTTCAACAGTATGGGCTATAGGCTTTGAATTCATGTATTTATAAGTGCACACTGAAGTAAATCTATAAATAAATCAATAACTAATGAGCTGCATTGAGCCCTGCACCTCTAGGTGGTCTGCAGATGTTGGCATACAGTCTGTAGCATCTAGAGGCAAAAGGAACTGCAAAACTGTGCTTTGGAAGGGTTGGCACAAACAGAATGGGCTTCTAAATCCTGGAAGTGGTTCCCAGATGCAAATATTATATCAGTTTATGTGTGCCCTTTAAACGAGTTACTTTTTACATTTTCTTGGTCCAATTTACATTCAAATTTTTTCCACCCACAATTTAATTGCAGGCCCAGTTGCATTCACGAAAAGGAAGACCAAGCTCCAGTACAGGTGAAAACTTGTCCCTGCCAAAAAATTGGAAATGTACAAAACACAATTCTTCTGGTGTTAAATGGAAAAATGGCTCAAGCTATTTTTATACAGGAATGGTCTCCAGTGATAAAGGATTCTTTTTTTCTTACCGTGACTGAAGACTTTTAATTCTGCATAACATATCAAGGTGACCAGCTGAATACTGTTCAATCACATCTTTCACATCATATGGACGTAATGTCTCTTTAAACTTTCTCTTTGCAACATGAAATTTCATGATTCTGTGGAAGAAACATTTTTCCAGATGAATCCTTATACTTTTATGAAAAACAATAAAGTCATCAATACTGATTGAAATGTCAGATTTTCATAATGTTGATAGCTTAATGTTACATTAGCTAAGCTAAACTTAGTTGAGCTAAACCAAGCTAAGATGATGATATTTTCTTCTGAACAGTTGAGTTATACTCAGCGAAAGTCCTCTTTTTCAAGGTGATTTGTGGAGCTTATAAATACAACTGCACCAGTGTCAGCATTTTGCAAGTGGAGAATTGCCATATTAAAAACATGTTACATAGGAGTTTTAAAAAGGTAATAGCTTGTTTCAAATTATACATGTGTGCCTATCAAAGTGTTCTCTTCTGTTGGGTGCAAATTCAGTAAGGTTTTTAAATGTGTGACTTGTCTCATTGAGATCAATGAGGCTACTCAGATCTTCAAAATTAGGCTTGTGCTTCAACAAGTTCTTGACCAGGACCTTAGTGTTGAGGGAACTTTCAGAGCTAAATCTCAACAGTGGAATTTATACATTTTGTTTTGTTGCTAGATTGGTTCCTTTCAAAGCTGCACATGCCCTCCTGGTTATATGTGTATAATTTTAATCTAACTCACTCCTGTGCTGGATAGCTTAACTGATAAAAATTACTATGCTACTTATACTTTTCTTTATATAGACAAATCTGTGAACACAAAAGGACGTGCTTTTATTTTCTACAGCGAAAATAGTAGAGTACATATCCATCTATATCTAGGTAGTTATATTAGACATATACGCAGTGTAATTGTAGCCATGTTGGTTGCAGGATATTAGAGAGAGAAGGGAGGCCAACAGAATTGCTGGGCCCCTGGGCAAGATGGGGGCGGGGAGTGTCCTGGTGTCGCACTCACAGAAGGGACAGGGCCTCTGGTGGAAGGGGTATGGCTGAGGGCTAGCTTCCCACCTCCCTGCCAGTACTTCAGTGCCACCCTGAGTGCTTCACCAGGGGCTCTGGCGGCAATTTAAAAAGCCCAGGGCTCTAGCTGCAGCTACTGCTGGCAACCAGGTGCCCCGGACACTTTTGAATCTCTGGGTCCCCAAGCAACTGCCCCCCTTTTCCCACTCCTTGTTGGCGGGACAGAGAGAGACACAAGGTGGATGAGGTAATATCTTTTACTCAGAGCCAGTCTTAGGGGTGGGCGAGCCGGGCAGTCATCCGGGGCTGCCATTTTCAAGGGGCCACCAATGGAGCCGGTATTATGGGTGGTCCATGACCACATTTCGGCCCAACCTCCCGAATCCCCATCCCCAGGTTTCCCTGCTTACCCCCCTTTTTTTTTTTTTGGACTCAACAAATTTTCCCTGCTTTTTTTTTTTTTTTTTTTTTCCCTTTTGCATGGCTCCCAGGGCTGCCAATTGGTTAGGACCAGCCTGATTAATTGATTAATTTTTCAATTAGTTGATTAATTTTTCATGTGTTGCTTTTACTGGACCAACTGGTGAGAGAGACAAACTTAAGAGCCACAGTAGAGAAGAGCTCTGTGTGGTCCAAATGCCTGTCTCTCTCACTAACACAAATTACTTCATCTACCTTGTCTCCCTAATATCGAAAGATAAATATATAGCTATGTATGGCTATATTAATTACAATTTTAATCAAACCAAACAATTTTTACATGAAGTTTAAAAACCCTGATTCTGCTCCCGTTGAAGTCAGCAGCAAACTTCCCCTGATATTAGTGGGCGGGGGATAAAAACATAATAATTTATTTAATTCTGAGTATTCATTTTCTGATGTTCCTTATAAGTATAGACCCACACTTCCTATTGTGTAAGAATCTTTAATTGTGCATCCAATTTGTTTCTCATTAATTTTTCATGTGTTGATTAACAGCATCCTTCATGCAGGCCAGTATTCTCCTTTTCTAATTCTTTCTTCTGCTGCTTTGGGACCAAACACTGCAGTCCAGAGATTTGACTGAGGCAGTTCCCATTTAGGTACAATTATGACATTTTCCCAGTTGAAATCAGTGGGAGTTGTGGTTGAATAAGGACTGTATTAAGTCATACATCTGAAGAAATGTAGGCCAAAAATCCTGAATATGACTTCAGGTATGTACATAAAAGCGGTCAGATTTTTCAAAGGTGACTTGGGCTCCTGTAACTTCCACTGACTTAAAAGGGGGTAGAGGAAGCTCAGAGTTTGGGGGTCTGAAAAGCTTAGCCATGCTGCTTTGTGTTGAAGAGAGGTAAAAGGAGGATAAGAGTAATAATTTGGAAATATCTACACTCTAGTGCAGGTAAGGTGATAGGGAACACCAAGCTGTTGGCCCGTCTGTAGAATATTCCCGATCACCAACAGTTTTGCTTAATGGTCAAAGAGGAATTTTGGCAGGGCATCTCCCCATTGAAAACACAGTCCAGCCTCTGGCCCCAAGGGTTTCCAGTGCTTCCCTTTAGCCCAGAGATTTTTTTAGGGGGCAAAGGGTTGGGGTCCATGAACAGCCAGAGAGCCCCAGTGGAAGGGGCTGCTGGCAGCTGTGAGTGGATCCAGCCAGTGAGGCCAGTGGAGCATGGGGGGAGGGGAGGGGAGGCTAGACCTTGTGGGGCTGCAAAGCTAACAGGGCAGCTGGGGCCTCCAGAACTTGCAGGGTAGCAGAGCCCACAGCCGGTGGCACAGCAAAGCTGGTGGGGCTGCCAGAGCTCACTGGGCTGCAAGGCCGGCAGGGCTGCCGAAGATCACGGGGCAGCAAATCTGTCGGGGCCACAGGAGCTTGCAGGCCATGGAGAGAACAATGGGGGTGAAGAGCTCCAACAAGGAGTGTCTGGGATCTCTTCCCCCAGGTAGTCTGAGAGTTCAGCTGGTAACTTGGGAGGACTGTTTACCCAGCCCAGGCTGACCAGGGAGTGCCTGCCCCAATGCCTTTTTTTAGCTGAGGGACAGAAACCCAAACTCCGTCAAGGGCAAGCGCGACCTGTGCCACAGTACCTAGACTGTGAGACTGTGGACTGAACAGGGGTCTGTGACCCAGCAGTGGGACTGGCCTTGCCACAAAACTTACAAAAGTGAAAGACGGAAAAGACCTCCTACATCAGCTAGTTTATCTATCTGGCACTTCCTGGTTATTCTCTACTACGTACTGTTTAGAGCAGATTTTATACATCCGAAGAAATGGAGTAATTCCACCATTTCCATTGGGAAAATGTTACACAGCCTAGTTGCTCTCATTCTCAGGAAGTAATCAGATATGCTATACTAAATCATGGGAGACAGGAGAGATTTCAGAAGACTGGAAAAGGGCAAATATAGTGCCCATTTATAAAAAGGGAAATAAGAACAACCCAGGAAAATACAGACCAGTTAGTTTAACTTCTGTGCCAGGGAAGATAATAGAGCAAGTAATTAAGGAAATCATCTGCAAACACTTGGAAGGTGGTAAAGTGATAGGAAACAGCCAGCATGGATTTGTAAAGAACAAATCATGTCAAACTAATCTGATAGCTTTCTTTGATAGGATAACAAGTCTTGTGGATAAGGGAGAAGCGGTGGATGTGGTATACCTAGACTTTAGTAAGGCATTTGATACGGTCTTGCAAGATATTCTTATCAATAAACTACGCAAATACAACTTAGGTTGGGCTGCTAGAAGGTGGGTTTATAACTGGATGGATAACTGTATTCAGAGAGTAGTTATTAATGGTTCACAATCCTGCTGGAAAGGTATAACAAGTAGGGTTCCACAGGTGTCTGTTTTGGGACCGGCTTTGTTCAATATCTTCATCAACAATTTAGATATTGGCATAGAAAGTACACTTATTAAGTTTGCAGATGATATCAAGCTGGGAGGGGTTGTGACTGCTTTGGAGGATAAGGTCATAATTCAAAATGATCTGGACAAATTGGAAAAATGGTCTGAGGTAAACAGGCTGAAGTTTAATACAGATAAATGCAAAGTGCTCCACTTAGGAAGGAACAATCAGTTTCACACATACAGAATGGGAAGCGACTGTCTAGGAAGGAAAAAGGCAGAAAGGGATCTAGGGGTTATAGTGGACCACAGGCTAAATATGAGTCAACAGTGTGATGCTGTTGCAAAAAAAGAAAACATGATTCTGGGATGCATTAACGGGTGTGTTGTGAGCAAGACACGAGAAATCATTCTTCCACTCTACTCTGCACTCGTTAGGCCTCAGTTGGAGTATTGTGTCCAGTTCTGGGTACCGCATTTCAAGAAAGATGTGGAGAAATTGGAGAGGGTCCAGAGAAGAACAACAAGAATGATTAAAGGTCTAGAGAACATGACCTATGCAGGACGGCTGAAATAATTGGGTTTGTTTAGTTTGGAAAAGAGAAGATTGAGGAGGGACATGATAGCAGTTTTCAGATATCTAAAAGGGTGTCATAAGGAGGTGGGAGAAATCTTGTTCATCTTGGCCTCTGAGGATAGTACAAGAAGCAATGGGCTTAAACTCCAGAAAGGGAGGTTTAGGTTGGATGTTAGGAAAAAGTTCCTAACTGTCAGGGTGGTTAAACGCTGGAATAAATTGCCCAGGGAAGTTGTGGAATCTCCAACTGTGGAGATATTTAAGAGTAGGTTAGATAAATGTCTATCAGAGATGGTCTATACAGTATTAGACTGGTCCTGCCATGAGGGCAAGGGACTGGACTTGATGACCTCTCGAGGTCCCTTCCAGTCCTAATATTCTATGATTCTCTATGGTAAAATTACATTCATTTCTCCTTTTGAATCTACTTCACATGCTTGGTAAATGTGAGCTAAAAACTGCAATGCTTTCTGTTGAGCCTGCAGGTCTTTTTGTGCACAATACTAATGGTTAAATTTCTGTCTGGGGATCCAGGATTGGTTCAAATAATACCACTCATCCTGCCACCACAGAGGGTGATGTATGGTGGGGACGATGAGCTGCTTTGTGCTGAGAGCAACATGGTGAGAGTTTGATCCTTTGGGGAATCAGGACACTAGTCCCTTTATTTTGGCCTTAGCAAGGCATGCTGCACCATTTCTCTTAAGTCACTATTCCCTAACACTCTTCTCAAACACACAGCTGGCCTGGATTAGAAGCTTGGAACAGATGGAGCACAGGAAGCCTGCTTGGGCCTTGTAGCCAGAAAGTCCAAGTATATGACTTTGAAAGGGGCCCAATTTGCTTAAATTGTTACTGAACTAATCCACTGAGTGAATCTACAGTCTCCTTTGTTATTTGGAGGCAGTCAGACCTGTGAGCAGTGGGCACAGGCTTAAGTTATTTTCATTGGGAACACATTGGTTCTTTCTTCCTTCAGTGCCACTGCCTCTGCACACCACCAACACTGCCTACCTCATTATGATAACACTTCCAAAGGGAGTTTTTTGTCATTTTTCAGAAGTTTTGGCAAAAACCTGAGGTGTGAGTTTGTTATTCTGAGATCAGGCTTTTGAAACACAGCAGTAGCTCTCTTCTCTTGCCAGAGTTGTGTTCTTCTCTAAAGTAATCATAGAATCAATCATAGAATACTAGGACTGGAAGGGACCTCGAGAGGTCATCTTAAAGGATACTGTCATGAAGGTGCACAAGATGAGAGCTACGGGAACACTCACTGAAGGATGTGATAGTTCCTATATACTCATATGTAAATACTACTTAGGTAAGTGAGATGGGTCAGTCACACACTGCATGGTTAGTATGATATGCAGTTTTGTCTCTTTACGGAAATATTTTTCTACTAATACCACATGAAATACCAAATATAGGAAATATTCTTCCACTTTCCAAAATAGCTGAAAAGTATTCATGTAACTTTTGCAACTTGGTAATGACAGAGCGAGTGAAATAAAATCAATCATGGTATCCTACTTAATTTTTACCAAGTTTTTATATTGGCTGAAACATATTTTATAATACATTATATGCTCTGTGCACCATTCAGAAACACTGCAGTCATTTTATGATAGTATTTCCCCACAATAATTTATCTTTTGGTAGCAATGTAAAGTATGAGCTTGATATAAAAAATATGATCATAGGTGTTTAGGTCAGTTTCTTTTTTCCACCCAAACTCACTGTTACATGAACATATTTTTAAGTAATTTTGTTTGGATTAATAAAGCTAGAAAACCAATGACAATTTCTAAAGCCTGAATTATAACTGAGTAGTCACTAACCTGCAAAATAAAACAAACAGAAAACAAAAACCATGCTGAGATTATGCCAGGCTGCCCTGCAAGTGTGCAGGGTTTAGGAACACAAGGAGCTTTGCTCCTGATTTGTAACTCTCTGTAGCTGTAAGTCACAGTTGTAGTTCTTCAAGCAGGACACCTGAAAGGGGTATGAAGGAGTCAGGACTACAGCCTCATCTTCCTTATGCACCAACTTGCAGAGAGAGATGCATAAAAGACTGTAGCAAACGGTATACACTCTCTACATGCTGAGGAAATTCTTTCTGAAGTTTCTCTGAAGGTATGTCTTCACTAAAGGATGGATTAATACAGATGCAATAAATCAACTGCCGAGAGCTCTCCCATTGACTCTGTTACTCCTCCAGAACAAGAAGAGTCAGAGGAGTCGATGGGAGAGCATCAATTGTCAAGTTACCGTGATGAAGATACCATGGTAAGCAGACCTAACTATGTTGATTTCAGCTACATTATCCATTAATGTGGTTCTAGACACTGCCTCAACAGAGTGCTGTGCCTAAATGGCATGACATACCTAGAAAAGGCAGTATTAGAAAATAATGTTAAGATCCATGGCCCTAAGACCAGTAATGCTAAGGAGACTGAGAGTGGTCTTACACAGGCAACTGAGGATCCTACAGTGCCAAGCTCAGGCAGCAACAGATCTAGCCTAACATGGACAATGGTTACTCAGAATATTTGAAATAATTTCCCAAAGACTGAAGCCAAGACAACAGCACTCCCTTATGCAAAGATTAAATATAGTAACGTAACATTATTTTCTAGCTTTCAGTGCATTTTGTGACTTTGATAAAGGAGACAGACTAATTAATTAGAAAGATTAATTTAAAATTTTTGGAATTATGACTAGATCAGTGAAGTGTCATTGACAAAGCTCTATTTAGCTGCTGGAATAGAACTTTCTGAACTTATAAGAAAAAACGTACCATAAAAATATGCTATTGCAGAAAGATTTGGGAGTATGCAGATTCAATACACAATGTTGATTTAACAGTGAGAAATATTAAGACACAAGGCAGGCAAAGTAATTTTTTTATTGCTGGTGGAAGAAACTAGCTTTCGAACTACACAGAAAGCATATTGTAAATTGAGCTTCACTTTCTCTTTCTCTTCCCATTCAAATCAGATCCATATTGTATAGTGTGTTTTTGAAATATCAAAAAGAAGTTAACTTAGAGCTGTTGAAATATTTCAGCTTCTAGTAGGCACTAAACAGCAGTGGGCAGAGAAATTATACTAGCATGTTTACTGCTGATATAAAACCACATCTGGACAGTAATATCAACAGTCAATAACAGAGCTCTCAAATATTTCTTCACTAAGTATTTTTCACTCACCTGATAGCTCTAATGACAGTTTTAAGTGCTGGTGTGAGATCTTCAACTGATACATCACATTGGCATCCTCTCTCATCACAAATATCGTCTGTTCCAAGAGTGGTGTCAGCTGCAGGATACAATTACAAGCTAAATAACAAGTATTTCAAGACAATATACCTCTACATTTAGATAATTTTCCTCTCAAGCTGTCCATATTGGAAAATAAGACTACATTAAGGAACCCAAGTTCTGCTTGCTCTATGTCTAAGTCTCAACCTAAAAGCAGAGAGGAAAGCAGAACTTTAGTAATTAGGCCTGAAACCTATTAGATACTATCATACCAATGCATTTATAATGCAGGCCTGAGTGGCATCTGAATGTTATCATATCTTTTCTAATTTAAAAAGAAGCAACATGGTAACAGAAACTTTGTCAGAATAATAAATATAAATATATTCTAATAAATATACATTTAACAGCAAAATAGAGGACTTGGCTCCTGTTCCAAAGAGCACATTTATTCTGTGTGAGACAGCTGAATGACCAAACACTCCACTTCACGTAAAAACTGTGTTTAACAGAAGATATAGGATAAAATCCATCACAGTTCAGATGGCCCACATAAGCCTTCTGCCTCTAGCCCACTTAAGCATTACCTTTGCCTGCCATAGTGAGAGCTGTTGAACTAGCCATTGTATGATGTAGAAGAAATCTGCTTATTTTATTCATAAAATATTTATTTACCAGTCCCCTCCCTAATGAAAACTTTTATGCCTGCCAAAATCATTAGTTTAATTAAACTATGCTATTATCCTGCTACATTATTTAAGTTCATCTCCAAAGCTACTAATAATTAAAATCATAACAGAAAACCAAAAATAATGAACTTTCCAGGTGTTTCACATTTCTGTACCTAATTGAGTCTTTCCAATAACTTTCTCCATCCCAAAAATCTCCTGACTTATCCCTTAATACCATACTAAATAAGACTCCCTTTATTTTAGAGGTCTATTCACTAAGAATCTGATTCTTCTCACTTAACACTAGTATAAATCAGGAGTAACTCTGTTGAAGTTAATAGAATTATAACGGTATAAAACCTGTGAAAGATTACATTCTGGCTTCAGCAGTTTAAAATAAAGTACATGTCTAAATGGTGACCTCTGAGATTTAATTTTTGGGTCTTGTTCCAAGTGTATCTTAATTAGCTTTAATGAAACATTGCAAAAAATATGCATACAGTTGGTGTTGATGCAGACTCATGCAATCTGTGAAGCTCTCCAGGCAGTTCACAGACACAAATATCTTCAAAATACATTTATAGATACACTAGACTATTTACCCAGTGTTGCTTGTGGAATTTGTTTTTCTTCATTTAAACTGCTGTTCTGGGGTGGGAGTGGGGATGCATGGTTCAGTATGCAGATTTTCTCGGAAAGAGAGGATAACCCCAATTCTCTCTCACCGCAGCAGCTTGGAGCTAGGTGAGAAGCACCTGTCCATGGCTGCTACAGCTGCAGTGGGCACAACTGGGGGAGGAAAGCATGTCCTCCCCAGCTGGGGGACAGAGACACACAAACAGACACACAGACAAACTCTTGGGAATATATTGCGGATAGTTTTCCCTTTCTCCATTCCTGTTGCCTGCTGGCCCACCGGGGTTATAGCTGTTCTGGTCTAGATCCCTGGCTCCCTGCTTCCTTTTGTGGCCATTCAACAGTATAACTGTCCCTCCTACCAGACCTTTCTCTTTCTCTTTTATAAGAAACAATCAAATTCCAGGCACATCCCATTGCCCTGGCATAACCAAACCTTTACCTCACTTTAAGTTATGATAAGAGGAAGCTGAATACCAAATTTGGTGGTCCTAGCTCTTACCATTTAGGAGGAGTTTTGAACAAACAAACTCACAGACAGACAGAAACATTTCTAAAATATATAGTAAGATGACAAAATAGTCTGGTATATTTAAGTCAATATAAAAAAGAAGCACTGTACTTAATAAATTGTCTTATTTCTAATGACAGGTTACAGAGGGGTAGCCATGCTAGTCTATTCAGCAAAAACAACAAGGAGACCAGTGGCACTTCAAAGCAGGAGTGGGGAACCTTTTTGCATTGGGGGCCACTGACCCAGAGAAAAATCAGTCAGGGGATGAACAAAAGTGAGAAGCAGAAAAAATAATTCCCACCTCACTGACATGATCCCCGATTAAGAAGCAGAAAGAAGCACCTCACATCCCCCTCACACACCTAGGAGGACTCAGGTTAGTAGATTTTGTAGGCCCTCCCCATAGGCTCCGGGGTGGGGCCCAAAATGGAGGGGTTCAGTGTGTGGGAGGGTGCAGGAGTAGGTTGGGGGCTGGGTGGGAGGTAGGATGCAGGAAAGGTGTGGGGGATCTGAGCAATGGGAGTTGCTTACCTGATACAGCTCCCTGGCAGTGCATTTGGTTCTCTGTCCCCCACTGCTCCTATTTTCCCTGATTATAGCCAATTGGATCAGTGGGGGGAAAGCCTCCAGGCAGAGCTTTGCTGCACTGCTGTTTCCCCAGTGAGGAGAGAGGGTGTGGTACTTTGCAAAGCCACTCTCCCCTATCAGGCAGCGCCCCTGGGCTGGATCCAGCTCTGGGTTTGCCTGACTCTGGCCTGAGAGGCTTAGGGCTCCTTGTTGGTGGGGGGAACCTTGGGGCTGGATCTAGGCAAGGCTGGATCTGGCCTGCAGGCTCTCGGTTCCCCACCCTGCTTTAAAGACTAACAATTTTATTAGGGCATTAAAATGCCACCAGACTCTGTGTTTGTTTTCTCTTTCTAATATGTCCATTAGCATAGGTTTCCCTCAATATATCAATGCTGCTCCTGAGGAAAAAGGCATAAACTTTATTTCATTTGTATGGGAAATATGCACATTTCTTTATAATGCTTAGAGGTGGAAATGCCACCTCCCTACATCAATGAGTAGAGGGCTGGTGACAGACTTTGCTGGCCCCTGGGCAATGTGTGTGGGGGTTGGAAGCTTGGCTCCAGGCCTCCAGGAAGGGGCTAACTTGGCCTGGACTGCACCATATGGGGCACCAGTGGCAATTTAAAAGACTTGGGGCTCTGTCTGCAGCAGCTGCCATGGTTGTGGCAGTGGTGGCCTGGAGCCCTGAACCCTTTTAAATCACCAGGCCCTAGCACAATTGTCCACTTTGTCCCCTCCCCACTTCAGTGACCCTGTCAGTGACCCTGGATGGTTGGGAGAAATTAATGGGGCTGAGTTTAACCCTTTAGTCACTGGATGCTGTCCAGCACTCCTCCTATCCATCAAAGGTACCCATTGGCCAGTTACGAAAGAAGGATGCTGATTGGCCAGCATTCTCCAGTTTTCAGGATTTAGCCAATGCAGGGTTCTTGTGGAGCCTCTTTTGGCTCTGTTCCAGTGACACATCTTACCCATCTGAGGCAGGAATGGGAGCTGCAGTTTTAGCCAATAGCCTGTTTGGGGGCCAGGAAAGAATGTTTTTCTACTATAGAACAATTGTCAAAGGACAAGGGAGTTCTTTGCCTTCCTCACAGGACCTTCAACTCACAGCAGAGAGTCAGACCATGCTTAGTACCTCACTAAAGCACTGTGGTCTTGGTGTTTGTTCATCAGAAATTTACAGCCGGTTTCTAGCACGATTAAGAGAATAAAATTAAAGGCTCACAGAGATAAAAAACTTGGGATTTTGGTGATGGGCTTTGGGCTCATGTAATAGGGTGAGTCCTTGTGAACTTCATTGGTGTAGGTCAGACCTTGTAGCCCTTGTGAGCTGAGGTCTCCAACCCGCTGTGCCCTCTGTCCCCGTTGCAGAGCTTTGGGGGCAGGAGTGTGTTGGGACTCAGAGAAAAACTGAGGAGAGCCACCCCGTATTATGGACTATATATTAAATAACCCAGTAAACCTGGTACTAGTTATAAATTATATAGTAACAAGCCCTGGAGCCAGTTAATGGAACTGGTATACGAGAGGATAGGTGATGTCCCTCCTCTGTGTTAAAGTTTAATAAAAATTGTGGCCGACTGCTAAATTCAATGCATATGTCTGTCCTCATTTTGCTGTTGTGTTCACATCAAAGAATTGAGAAAGTATTTCTTAAGAATTTGGATAATTTTCCAATTTTCATTCCCAAAGTTTATGCTCTGATGAACTTTCCAGGGAAATTTTATGGACATGCATATATTCCATTTATGAATTTCTTTGCAATTTATAGTTATGCAGATTTATATGTGATAAAATTATGTGAACCCGCACAAATTGCAGATAAAATATATGAGTTCATAACTATATATCATATGGTCTGGTGCACAAGTTATGCCTGGGTTTTCATTTATGTTTTCCAAATGCCATACGTGTTTCTGTTGTTTAGCAATGTACTTTGTCTACTGCAAAACTGACACTGCTCTGATCTTCCTCACAGCACTATACTTGTAACATTCAAGACATATCTGTCTGTTGAAGAGAAATGAAAATCTTTTATCCTCTTCCCTTTCATTTGTTTCCTGGGAACAGCCAGGTGTTAGTAACAATAATCCAGTATTGATCTAGGTCTAGAAACCTAGTCTGTCTAGCTCCAAACCCCAAAAATAATGCAAACAATAAAGTCTGATCTCATTTCTGAAAGCATCGGGAAACATATTTTACAAAGTTGCAGTTAGATGCCATGTTATATTACTCTATGTATTATATAAGTTTGCAGATGATACCAAACTGGGTGGGGTTGCAACTTCTTTGGAGGATAGGGACATAATTCAAAATGACCTTAGCAAGTTAGAGAAATGGTCAGAGGTAAACAGGATGAGGTTTAATAAGGAGAAATGCAGAGTGCTCCACTTAGGAAGGAACAATCAGTTCCATACATACACTGTATACCATAGTACGTGTTCCAAATATTTACATAAATTATTGAAACTCTTATTAATTTAAACAAAACTTTTGACTGTATATTATACAGTAACAAGTTTTTAATGTGGCTAAATCAACGACAAAAATATGGTTTGACATTATAAACTTAATTGAAACCTCTGTGTATGTATGGGTATGCATGGATGCAAGAATGTGGTTTTTTTTTCTCTAATGTGAAGCAGGCATGAAAAGGTATACAGCTAGACAGACAGAAAGAGAAATGTTTCAGGAATAACACCATTTTCCTTATTCTAATAACATTGGGTACATCTATACAGCACTAATGTTATTCTGAAATACACTACAAGCCTTTATTTCGAAATAATGTCGAGCTAGAGGACTTCTTACTCTGATTCATGGTGTCCCTCATTTTATGAGGAGTAAGGAAAGTTGAAGGAAGAGTGTTCTTCCTTAGACTCTCTCCTGTGTAGACAGCAGCAAAGTCGAATTCAACTATTTTGACTTAAACTATTCAGTTAACATAGCTGAAGTTGCGTAGCTTAATTTGATTTTAGCCCTGCTGTGTAGATGTACCCATTCTTTTTTCATTGTTAGAACAATTCTTTATCTCATTGTCATCTGACACTACAGTGAACTTTACTTTCAAAAGTTTTACAATATTGCTGAATTCATTTGTACATTCTAAGGTGATCGGTGTAAATAAATGCAGGACATGCAGGATATTATTTTCTCTTTACATACTTTACTCTCAAACCCTCTGCTCAATTGCCACTTAATCCTCTAGACCAGTGTTTCTTAAAGTGGCCCATTCTTACTTCTGTACTGCTGTCTACAGAGCTGGGTGGCCAGAGAGTTGAGGCTGCTAACAGCCCAGCTGTACAAGGAGCAGCACAGAATTAAGGGTGGCAACATCATACCATGCTGTCCTTACTTCTGCGCTGCTGCTGGCAGTAGATCTGCCTTCAGAGCTGGATTTCTGGTCAGCAGCCGCCACTCTGAAGGCAATGCTGCTGCCAGCAGTTGCACAAAGGAAGAGTAGTATTCTCCTATGCCCCTACAATAATCCTGCAAACCCCCTGCAACTCCTTTTTGGGTCAGGACTCCTACAATAACAATACTGTGAATTTTCAGATTTAAATATCTGAAATCATGAAATTTACCTCAAATGGTATGACCGTGAAATAGGCCAAAATGGACTGTGAATTTGACAGGAGGGCCCTATTTATAAGATCTTTGTAAATAATAATAGTGCAAACTATATGAAAATTAGAGGAGATATTTTATCAGTTTAAACAATTATTCAGATATTACCCTGCTAACTAACATCAATTAATATATTGCTAATAGAAGTACATCTTTTTAGCCCAAGATTTATTTATGAGATCATATAAATCCATTAAGGAGACTAAAGTCACCAAACACTGTAATTCATAACCAGTAATTACTAACTAATGAGGGCATAAAAACAACTAAATTAAGGACCTTCCCCAGATCAAATGAACTCTAGATGAGGGCAAGATGCGTGTATTACTGAAAGTAAAAGCTGTCATTTTCACAATACATAAATTACATGATAATAACTAAATATATGGGGGATGAAGTATATATTTGCATTCTTTCCATGATTTTTATAATCTGTTTACCTTGAGGATTCAATATAAGTACTCTCGGGGGAATGGAAGGGCAGAAAGTTCATGTGAGTTTATAACTTTCTGCCATTAAGTTTAAAGATAAGAACAGAAATCAACTATTTCTTTGGAGAGATCTTTTCAGTTAATCAAATGAAATATGTCTGTAATTTCTGAACTGTTGAACACTTTGATGTTTTATTCAATTAAATACACAATGTCTTTAGGTTACAGAGAATGCAAAATATCTCCCAAAAAGGCCTGAAAACATAAAAAGATAGAATACATTGTAACAAAGTATGTTAGCCCTTTATAGAAGGCTACAGCCTGTTCCTCCAAAAAATGAGGAGTAAGAGCTATTTCGAGGGAAGGGTTTTATCTTGAAATAACCCCGTTTTCTCTCTTGAAATAGTGCTATTATCGCCATAATGTGATTTTGCAAATGAAGCGCGGGATATTTAAATCCCTGCTTCATTTGAAATTTTGGGTGTCTGCATTTGCATTCCTCTCTCATGAAAGGAATGAAGTGTAGACATAACCTAAGTCTGTGGAATGGAAGATACAAGAAACACAAGGAAGGGTAAGTTATTCAAAGCTTGAGGAGGCAGGAGAGAAAAGAACCTATGGGAGATAAGATTTGAAGCAGAGTCAGAGACTGTGAGTCCTGCACTAAGGGGATGAAGATTCAGAAGTGTGGGAAAGCAAGTGAAAGAAAGGCCTGGGACACTGCAGCAGTGAAGTGGGCTGGAGGCCTGGTAGCACCTGCCATTCATTAGGGATACCAGTCTGGATCTTGCAAGGGGAAGAATCCATTTTTAACTCCCCAGTATTAGGGATGGAAGAAACCAGGTAGACTTTGGGGAAGGACTATTGAATTGTTATTGAATAAAGAAATTCCTTAGCCTTCCAGGTCTATACTTAACCAGAAATTGATCTTCCAGAAGTGGACAAAACATGTAATCTTATTCGGTGGGAAATTCTGACACTTCAAAATGTCCTTATATGAAACTGTGATTCGTTTATACATTGTCCTCTAAGATTGGTCTATGCATAATTTGCCTAAGAGAAAATCACAATGATAAGGAAATGAGAAGATAAAGCATCTAACAACGCAACTTCTTTCTCTGCCCAGAGACATAAAGCTCATCATAACCACTGACACCAAACACTATACCACAGAAAAAGCTCTACAGGCTCGAATGCTACCCCAGTCAGGAAACGTGTCTTCCAATAGCCCCATCTTCAGCTTGAGTGTCTGCAGTGGTTCCCTGGAACTGTGAAGAGTGGATGGTCGGGAAGTCTGTCTGGTTGGCGGTAAAAGGGAGACTGGGGACACAGTACAATGGAAAAAATGCATAAAAATATCTCACCATCTGCCACTGGTTTTGGCTGAGAACTTTTCAGACGCAGTGACGGTCTGAAACGGGTTCGGTCATTGAAGCTCCAGCTTTTTTGCACTTTGGTTGGGCTGCTCTCTGTAGTAACATCAGTACCTGGTGACCGTCGATCTCCAACTGATGCCTGCCTGTTCTTAATACTCTGCCCTCTTGGGCTAGCCATCCGTACCCGCTCTTTAAAACTTAACTTCTGGCTGTGAAAGAGAGAAATATGTATCATTTCATATTTAATTCATTCCCATTTCCTTTGTCGTGCAATAGATATCTAGATATATTTATTTCCAGCAACTAAACTAAACATAGCACAATGTAGATTTTTAACCAGTGTTTCACTTTCATGGAATATATTCATTCATTGGGGTAACATTATTTGAAATAAGTATAATTGTAAAGAGACATCACTAATGTTACACCTTACAGGAAAGATGAAAAACTATTACCATTGTGTATCATTTGTCTAACACAGAGGTGAGCAAATACTGGCCCACGGGCTAGATCTGGTTCACCAGGATTAGCCCCTGGCAGGCCACCACTGCTATATTTACATGAGCTTCCACAGATATGGGTGATTGCAGCTTCTGTTGGCTGTGGATCATCATTCTCGGCCAATGGGTGCTGCAGGAAACAGTGTCCTGGTCCATGCCACTTCCCACAACTACCTTTGGTCGGAAACGGTGATCTGCGGCCTATGGGTGCTGCAAGCGCTTTACTAGCAGAGGCACAGGTTAATATAGTGGCAGTGGCCCGCCAGGGCTAACCTTGGTGATCCACCACCATCTTATTGCCCACCCCTGGTTTAAAAAATGTAATCCAGTAATAATGATTTAACCTTTCAGACATACTTTTAAGGTTAGGACTTAAATTTTAGACAACTGCAAATATATTTCCATGTAAGACAGCCCAGCTCAGTGCATTTCTGATAATCTCTACAGATAAACGAGACAAATTGGCTTTTTTTCTGCATGCCATGTAGTTTTTGTTTTTTTAAACAGGCAAGATAAATGTTACTGTTATGTCCATGCATTTTCAAGACACGACATTTTCCAGCCTTTCATACACATTATTAATGATCACATAAATTTAAAATTCTTTGTTACAGCATTCATTTGGACAAGACAAAAAACAAACCAAACCAAACCAAACCAAAAACCAGAAATGTTATTGATGTAATGGCTGATTTACAAAAATGTGATATTATATTGTATGTTTAATAAAATAATCTCCTGTGTTTGAGCTGGGAACTAATCAGCTGCAACAGCCGCTAGCAGATGATACTTTAGGAGTAGGCAGCTGTGCTAGTGATTGTGACTGCTTGAGCTAAGGTGGCTTGTATACTGGGAGAGCTACAGAAAGATTTCTTTTTTCTTGCAACTGTGACTTTTCCCTTCTACTTATGCCTGAATAGATTTTTGGGAGCCCCTAATTGCAAAATCCAGCTTTGTTCATGTTTGCATGTGCTACACAATATACTTTATTTGACCACTCAGGCTGTTTTCATGTAACACTTTTGATTAATTAAACTAATTAATTAGATCTATTCATTGTCACTATTTTACAGATGGGATACAGATGAGAAACTGATTGGAAGAATCCACATTGTGTACGCAATTTGGAGGCATGAAGATGTGTTATATCTACATGATTAAGTTCAACCACCAGCACAAAGGGAACTGTCTCCTGAACAATGAATAACAATTCAGTAGGGGCATGGTGGTGGGAGGGGGAGAAGGAGACGGACCTGATAGCAGATGGGATTGGTAGGGGTGCCCATTTGCTCTGGCCTAAGGCCCCACAAAACATTAATCTGCCTCTGGGTCCAGCACATTAAAGGGGTATTCATATCCAGGAGACCAGTTAAAGGCTGGGTTATAGACCAGACCCTGTGAATACACGACAGGCCATTCATAGAAAAGCCTCATGTGAATTTATTGGCCCGAGAGATAGGGACATGGTGCCCCAGTGGCAAAGAATATATTTTGAGGAGTAATGGCAGAGACTAACACCTTGTTGCTAAGTCTGCTCAGTAAATTGAGATGCAACCTGTTCTCCTTCCCTCATAGTCCCTGTATTTTACTGCAGGACATTAACAAGAAGCATTTTCAAGAGAAATGTATTCTGCAACTAAAGAGAAATATTAAAATGTACTGTTTCATGCCTACCTGTTTAACAAACTATATTCTTGAAAGACAGTGTGCTCATATGTAACTATATGAAATGGACTCTCATGAGCTTTTAAGGTTATGAAAATTTCAGATAATCTTTGTCCATGCAACATAGTATATCTTAAAAAGCTGAGACTGGCTGAGAGGCAGTAGGTAGCAAGCAAAGCACATGCTGAGCAGCTTATAATGAGGTCAGTTTCAAGAATGCTATAAAACATCACATCAGTTGAGTGGTCTTCATTAGACAAATATGGCATGTTATATCCCTTTAAAGAATATCTGTTTCTGATATTTCTCAATCTGATTCCTTTCTCCCCCTACCCAAAGTAAGCAATTGTTGAAACAAACATGGGATGATACGGGAAATGTCATCTCTTTCCATTGCAAAATATTAATCACACCTGGAACACTAAATCCTGTGGTGTATTGAATACAACAGAACCTCAGAACCTATAAACTGAAAGAAAAGCAAGTTCTAAGGTTTGTTTTACAGTAACAGTTACAGTTCAAGACTCAGTTCAAATCTCATTAACTTTTGTTTATCATCTGTCATTGGAATGTAATCTAAGAGGCAGTCATTTAATAGCCACACTACAATGTATCCACATTAGCGTGCATGAATTGCATAATGAAAATGGGTCTAATCTTTATACATGTGTTCCCCATATACTGTGTTCGCTCTAGCCAGAGGTAAACCTGTCATTACTCAAGCATCCAATCAAATAATTATTTTGTAGATAAATCCTGTAAAGCAAATGCTTTCTGGATACATCATTTCATCCTACACTAATTAAAATGATTGGAAAATCGATGAAGTAGCCATCACAAGGATCGATAAGGACTATATTTTCTTTTATTAGCTAGTAACTGCAAGCAAAAGGAAAAAAAAAGAAACTAGATGAACAGTACATATTACTGCTGCCAAATCAACTCATTTGTACTAATACTCTTTTCTCCCATCTTTTTAAAAAGATGTCATCGATGTAGTGCCTTGAATGAAGGCCATCCTGTTGATGTCCAATAGATACAAACATGACATCATGAAAATGGATGGGGTAGACTGTGGCGCATGCTTATACATTACTGTGAACTGTCAGGTTCTGGGATTTGTGCTCGAAGGCTCCCATAAACCTCCCTGCAAGGGTTTTTGCAACTCCCACCTGAATGCTGACGTAGATAGCAAAAGCTTCAAGAAACTGATTCAGGGAAGAAGATGGTTAAGTGCTTTCTTGAAGTGGCATGGTCTTTTGAATCAGAGTCCAAATATCCAGAACCTAAATGAGCCCCACTATCTTATTTCTTGCTTATATTTTATCTTTTTAGTCTTTTTTTTCTATATGTTGAATTTGACAATGATAATCTTTTTAGACCTGGTGTGCTCTTTTCCTGCCTGTTGCAGAATTCTGTATATTTTTATAGTTATGGCGCTGGGGTTTTATAGTATTGGAGAGCAAACCTATACTGTAGCACTTCATTGGTGCAGCTGCACTGACGAAACTGTGCCACTGACACACATCAGGTGAAGGCACACTATGCGGGAGAATGCTCTCCTGCATGCATAATTGCTCCACCTTCGTGAGATTCTAAGATATGTCAGCTGTTTCACAACCCTGAGAGATGCAAATTTGATTACATCAAGGGGTAGTACAGACCTGCCCTAAGAGTGGGGATCAATTGCAGCTGGAACCTTTGGGAAAAAAGAAAATAATTTCTCTTTAATTTTTGTACTCTGAATGCATTATAGCCCAGGGCCCTACCAAATTCATGGCCATGAAAATCACAGATCATGAAATCTGGTCTCTCCCCTGAAATCTGGACTTTTGTGTAATTTTACCCACTACTCTACAGATTTCACAGGAGGAGACCAATGTTTCTCAAACTGGGGTCCCAACCTAAAAGGAGGTATCAGGGGAAGGTTACTGTGGCAGGGTCATGGTATTGCCTCCCTTACTTCTGTGCTGCCTTCACAGTTTGGAGGCCAGAGGGTGACAACTGCTGGCCACATGCCTAGCTCTGAAAGCAGCACCCTGGCAGCCGCAGTGCAGCAATGGCAATACCATGCTATTCCACCCTTACTTCCGCGCTGCTGCCTTCCTAGCTGGATGACTGGAGAGTAGTGGGTGCTGGCCCAACTCTGCAGGCAGTAGCACAGAACTAAGAGAGGTAATACCATACCATGCCGTCATTACTTTGCCCTGTTGGTGCAGGTGTTGCCATCATAGCAGGGCTCCTGGCCAGCAGCCGCTGCACTCAGCTTTGAAGGCAGTGCTTCCACCAGCAGCAGTGGAGAAGTAAGGGTGGCAATATTGGGATCCCTCTACAATAACTTTGCAATCCCCACACAATTTCCTTTTGGGTCAGGACCCCTACAGTTAAAATCAATGTTCCCTTTAATTTTTTTCATCCATGAAAAAATCCAAGACATGTGCAAATATTTACCACCAATAGAAACATAAAACCTAGCTACGGCGGGTGCTCTGCTAATCAATTGGGCAACATTTGAATTTCTCCTGAGCAGCCACACAAATGCTCAGCTTATAGGGAACACTGGTTATAAAACTGTAAAATTTCAAATTTATATAACCGAAACCATGACATTTATTATTCTGAAAATTCTATGACCATGAAATTGACCTAAATGGACCATAAATTTGGTAAACATATGCTCAACATATGCATCAGAGATTTGTACTGCTTTTTATTTTTTCCAAATTCTTTATTTTCTATATTCTTTATTTTCTTTCACGGATGAAGGAATTGCTGGTGGGAGACAGTAGAGGTCACTGTGGTTTCACTGGAGGAGTAGCGAACACTATTCTCTACTGAACCAAATGACATTAGGAGCCTGATTACCCCAACTGGGTGCACATGACTTCTTTTGAAACAACCTCAGTCACACACATATATTTGATAATAAAGACCTAGAAGTTTGAGATGTAAGGCTTCTCCACCAGCCTCATGCTAGTGTGAACCTAAGAATGGTGATATTATGACTCAGATCTTCTATGAGCATAGAGAAGAATTGCAAGGAA